GCATGAAATCCATAATATCTACATGTATCCGAAATTACACGTTGTAGTACCTCTCTCGCAAAATGATCATAATGTTGATTAGGATGTTGCGATCTACTTGTATTATTATTATTGCCCATCTTTTGCTGATTCATTCCGTTCATCATCATGGATGAAGAATTACGCAGCGAGTTATTGTTTTGCGATGAAGACATTTTTTTTTAATATTTTTATTTGATGATGATTTGATGAAGAATTTTTCAACAAGATTAGCCTCCGAAAACAAAATAGATGAAGATTGAAGAACAAGATGTATCAATTTGTGATGGTATTCACTACAAAGCAAAATAGAAAAATAATGGGATGCATTCTAATGATACACATGGATACGGTAATAAAAATGTAAATTTTCAATAATAAATTACAATTAATAATTATTTTCACCAATGGGCTGCTTATAATTTAGGAAATTGATTAAAAAAGTTAATTTATCAAATGATTTATGATATAACGAATGGGTTAGATTGACTTTGACAATTGGACTGAAGTTTAAAACATCTCACTGAAATACTGAACTTGCTAATTTCTTCTAACTTTGACAGAATACTAATCAACATTGGAAATAGTTACATTAACGACGAACAAATCAATTTCAATCCTATTCCTTTTAATAATGTAATATGGGATTTCCTATTTTGAAGAAAAAAGTCGTTCTTGCTACCTGTCTTCAATTGTGTTTCGTTAACCTTAACTTCATTTCCTTCACTTTAGTTCAGTTTAACAATTGCAAAAAAATTGAAACAAAACCTATTAAAACTATTCTGTAACCAATTTGAGTGTTTTCTCATGGACACAAGTTTTAACCCAACGAATCTCTTTATTAATTTGTTTTCTTCTACTACTTGTAATGGCTCATTCAATGTTTCTTTGAATGTTGTGAATGAATCAAATGGTAGTGATGGTTTGGATTTGAGTGAGGTTCCTTACTCATTATTGGAGGACGACCCAGAAGAAGATTTTCTATTCATCTGTAAAGATGATTCGAATGTAGAAGAAACTGATTCAAACAAAGAAGAGAAGAATTTAGAGCAAGATGTTGATGCCAATAATACAGAGAACCAAGAAAACAAATCAACAAATCCAGATGTTCACCATCCTCATTTATGAATTCAACCAAGAGAAAGAGAGAAGATGTATCGGTGGATAATAATTCATTCGAATCAATTTCACCAAATAAGAAACTTCCAAAAGAGAGCTCAGTAATTGATTTGGAAAATTCGATAGAGTTTCTTCCTTGGTACTTTTCCAATCCTTTGCAACTGAACTTTTACTTTTGTCTTCGAAAGAGAAATAACACTCCTCACTTGGTAAGGAAAGAGCTTGATAAGTATATTAAGCAATACGAAACTTGTGGTATATCAGATTCGAATAAGAAAGAAAGGAGCGCCTTTTTCTATTCTATACAATCGCTTAGTTTCCAATCAAGTGGTGATCAAGAACAAGCACAACAAGCAGCACTCAAATCAAGAAAGTTCATTTCAAAGAGTAATGATTCTCTTTCTCTACTCAACTCGTACACTTATCTTAATTTGGCATTGTACGAAATGGGTTGTGGTGAATTGAAAATTTCAAAGTTTCATCTCCACTCTGCCAAATTCTATTCACAAAATATCATGAAACCAATCTTATCTAGTCAGGAAACCAAATCTGTGAAAACTATTTCATTTGTTGAGAATTTCTCATTACAAGAAATTGATGTTTTACAATTCTCGTCAAGTTTGCCAATGCTCTATGAAATGGTGACTGGTGTTCGATTGCATCCTCAAATTGCTAATCTCCTACTCGAAAAAATTTCACACGAAAATAGTATGGACATGATGAAAACTGGAAGTGAAGTTATCAAATT